TGTATGTCTATGTTGTTTCATTCTGTTTTGGTGACACTTTTGCTTTTTTATTTCTTTGATTACCCCCCCCCCCCCTCCTCCGGTCCCCTACCCCTTTCTTTGTGGACCTATTATTGTTTTCTTTGAATTCCTAATCAGTTACAAATTATTTATCATTTAATGATTAAACCTGTCCGTGCTCTGTCTTTGCCCTACCCTGTTTTTGTTTTGGGTCCGCCTGGGCTCCTTGCCACTAGTTCTTGTTGCTGGGTCATATGGGGGTTGCGTTCATTGAACGCCGCCTTTCCTTGTTGATCTTGTTTATCATATTATATATCATATTTGGAGAATAGAGAAATACAGAATCCCTAAAGAAAGCCAAACACGGCAAAATTGTAAAATGTTGCAGGCTCGGTTTGATTGAGCCTGTTCATGGACGGTACTGGAAAGTGCAAGTTACCGTCCACACCCCCTAGCACCGGCTTTGTTTTCTTTTAGTTCTTTATCAGTTTCTAATTATTTATTCTTAGGTATTGGTTTGCCTTTCCGTACTCTGCCTTATACCCTTCCCTGTTTTTTTTTTTGGTCCTCCTGGGCTCATTGCCACTGGCTCTTGTTACTGGGTCGGGTGGGGGCTGCGTTCATTGAGCACCGCCTTTCCTTGATTTTGTTTATCATATTTTAAACACAAAACTAGTGGAATTTTGAATTTAGAAACATCCGCAGATGTGTTCGTACGGCGGATATCATGGAACCTTCAATGTGACACAGTAGTGTCATTTCATGAAAAGCGGCGTATTGTCCCCACGTAAAAAAATGCGTGAAAAATGCGGAAATAAAATGGAATTTAGAAAGGGGATCTGAGGTTATGAAGACTTTGATGGTGACTGAGTCTGCACAGAGGTAGACTGTTTACTTGGTGAAGCTGTATGCTCTTAAAGTAATTGTAACTTAAGTGGGGGGCATTAACATAAGTTGACCTGCACTGCAGAGTCAACCATCTTTTAGTTGCGTTCATTGAACGCCGCCTTTCCTTGTTGATCTTGTTTATCATATTTTAGACGACCTAGACGTTGAGTCGAATACACCAACTAGTTGAGACTGAAAAAATTCTAAATTCTGTAACTTGGATTTTGGCCATATAATCACTGGTGATTTTGATATAATAAACGACAAAAGAATCCGTAATTTATTTCTTGAGGACCAAAATATAGAATTCCTTCCGATATTGATTTTAATGCTTGTCGAAGTCAGATAGCTGCATCGATCGAGGACTTTTCAGTAAAATGGTGTCGTCGCGAAAATGCTGATAGTAATGCACTTTATTCATGGAAACATAATATATTTTATATTATTGAATCACGCATCGAATTTTACCGTGGTAATGAACATCTTTTACCACCTAAACCTAGACTTACTTTACGACATCTCAGAAAGGATATATTAGCGTTCCACTCTTAATTTGTTTTAATTCCGGCAGACAAGGCGGTCAATACCATAATCATTGTATGACGTATTCATTATATAAATGTTTTACAAAATGAACTTAACAGCACCAATACTTATTTTAAAACCGTTCTTTCTGAAAGAGATATTGTGAACAGTCATTTTTCTAGTATTTCTTACTTTAAAGAACGTGTTGAGAGAAAGAGCTTAAACTTCCTATCATGTACTGGATTCCAAAATTACATAAACATCCATATAAAGCCCGCTTTCACCGATTTTCAACAAGTAGGTCCATGGGGTAAACAAGAACTCCGCGAGTCGGATGTGTCGCCTTGTGAACAATGTAGTTTAGGAGAAATGGCCAGGACAAAAATGAAATATGAAAAATAACAAAGGGCAATAACTAAAAATATAATAAGAGCAGAGCAGCAGTTTCTGTGCACTGCACTTCTTATCAATAAGGTCTATCATTCTATGATGTTTCAAGTCCATAGCTTTCATACTTGAGGAGAAATGACCAGGACAAAAATAAAGTAAGAAAATCAACAAAGGGCAATAACTCAAAAAAAAAAAAAGAAATGCAGAGTATCAGTTCTTATGGATGCACTTTTTCTTAATGAGATCTATCATCCTATGAAGTTTCAAGTCCATAACTTTTATACTTTCCGAGAAATGGCCTGGATAAAAATTAAGTATGAAAATTAACAAAGGGCCATAACTCAAAAATTAAGAACTGCAGAGTACCGATTCTTGTGCACTGCACTTCTTCTTAATGAGATCTATCATCCTATGAAGTTTCAAATCCATAGCTTTTATACTAAAGGAGAAATGGCCCGGACAAAATTAAAGTATGAAAATAAACAAAGGGCAATAACTCAAAAAATAAGAAATGCAGAGTACCAGTCCTTGTGCACTGCACTTCTTCTTAATGAGACCTATCATCCTATGAAGTTTGAAGTCCATGGCTTTTATACATAAAAAGAAATGGCCGGACAAAAATAAAGTATGAAAATTAACAAAGGGCAATAACTCAAAAATTAGGAAGTGCAGAGTACCGGTTCTTGTGCACTGCACTTCTTCTTAATGAGATCTATCATCCTATGAAGTTTCAAGTCCATAGCTTTTTTAGTTGAAGAGAAATGGCCCGGACAAAATTAAAGTATGAAAATTAACAAAGGGCAATAACTCAAAAAATAAGAACTGCAGAGTACTGGTCCTTGTGCACTGCACATTGGGTTATTGAAAGAAGCATGCATACCAAGTTTGAAGTCAATCAGACTTATAGTGACTGAGTTATGCTCCGGACAAGCTTTAGGGGACGCCGACAACGACACAGACGCCGCCGACGCCGCCGACAAAAGTAACCCCTATATGTCACCTTTTCAAGGCGACACAAAAATATATTTAAAAATTCGACCTCTCCCGATTTAGTCAATATTTGTTTTAAAACATTCATATACCACCCTATGACAATATCTGAAAGTTTGGTATACAACGCTCTCGTAGTTTTCGTGTAATGATCTCTCAAACATAGGTGGCTGAAGACTAAATTTATTACGTATAAACCTCCGTTATTAGAGCCCTATGATGTATAATGCACACTTATTTGATATAATATTTTTGAAAACATTGCTAAACTTAACATTATCGTAAAAGTATAATATAGCAATATTTATTTTTTTTAAGAACTAAACGAACTGACCAAGAACGAAGAATAAATTTCAAATGATATGTTCGCATTATAAATAGGTTGCAACATAAATAAATAAAATCATATATATGCTTCAAATTATTTTTTCAGACCGGATATTCTAGTTGAAGTCATCGCATATAAACACAAATGCAACTTTTTAATTCAATGTAGAAAATAAAAGAACCAACTTTTCGCAAAGTCCACATATATCTAACATACGTGGCCAATCATTAATAATTCACCAAAAAATAACGAAGGTTTTGATTTATGAAAATACAAAAATGTTTTAAATCTGATCGAAGATCTATTTAATTTTCAACACAAGAATGAACAGATACAGAAATGATTTATACACAAATGTATATAATGAATATTAAGTCATAGCATTGTCTATAGTATTTCATAAATTCACTGATTGAATGGTAGCCATTCATGAAAATAAAAATTAAAAGTCAGAAAAGTGAACTGATATAATCCAACAAAGTTTTTCTTGGAATATTACCCTTTCATTTATAACCGTTAAACACAATCTAATAATCTAGATATGCAATAGGATCACCTCATCAAGACAAACGATTAAACACTAATGGTAACGAAGATTTCCTTAGAATCAGAAAATAACGTAATACATCATTTTAGGTTCATAGATAAGTTTCTGGTTGTTCTAATAGACATCGTCAATCACGTTTAAACATATTGTGTGACATGGCTACAAAATATATCATGTTATATTAAACTAAATGGCAAATTTAACACAAACAGTCTTGTTGATAACGAAGGTTTAGTGGCATCACTACTTTTCAGTATACAATTCATAAAGACTCAAAATACGATCTCTATCATATTCACTAATTTTGAACATTCTTTTTGATTTTCCTGTAGCTTCTGGTGCATCTACTTTTGTTAATATTTCACAAGGTTTCTGCCAAACAATATCCTAATTTCTAGGCCATTGAAAGAACTGCTTCTTGGTTTCCATAAATTTAACTTCATACTCTTCTTCATCCTTATCAACTATTACGCCAATAAACCACTTATTTTCATATACAGAAGCAACATACTCTTCAATTCCATATTTCATTTCCACCATATCTTGTGTGCACTTTTCTACTTCTGCATTTCTAGCTTCATCATGTCTGTTATTTTCGGCATTTTCATCTTCATTATTTTTCTCCTCTTGAGCACAAACTGTATTTACACTGCTATTATTGGCCGCTATTTGGGTCCTAGTGAATTCATCATCCCAAGCATCACAAGAGCTACCTGCTAAACAATCTGTACAGTAACAACTAACCTCCCTGACTTTGATTCGAGACTCTCCTTGGCCAATCACTGCATGAATCCTCATAGTCCCTTTGACAGCTTTGACTGGATTACTCTGAATTCGTATTTCTGTTTCTCTGCACTTTTCAGAAGAAACAAATCTAAATTGGACATTTTTCATACTTGAGTTGATACCCCATTTGTAGAAATCATTGGCGTCTTGGATAATAGCTTTGCCACTTCTCATAGCTTCGTCGGCTAGTCTCTTGCAAGACCCACCTAAACCATCACACGGCCCTTTGCCGTGACCGGCTTCAAAATAGTTCCATCTAGCCTTGGTACCATACCGCTGTTCATGGTAAGATAGAAGATCAAATATATGTTTGTTGCGGTACTGACTGGTTGGTGAATCACTCCAATAGTGCATTGTTGAAATATTGGCATCTATTTCTTTAAGAATGGGTTGCAACTCATCGATAAAAGCTATTACAGTTGACGCTTTGTGTCCCATCTCATCGGACACGATAATTATGCTTTGATGTTGAAGTGTAGCTTCTTGGCCTCGAAAATATGCAACAACTGGGTGGAGAGTAACACTTGTTTGATTGAAGTATGCACTCTAGACTTCTTCTAGAGATCTACAACTATAATTTTCTGCGAAATCCAGCTGCAACAGCATCTCGTGTTTTGGCAAGTTCTGCTTAAGCCTCTTTATCTCTTCATACTGTTTTGCAACCCTTTTCACGTGAGATTCAAAATCTTTCATTTGTTGTTCTAGTTTGACCAAAAACTGCTCTCTGTTGACTTTTGTTTCGGTTACTCTGGTTACCATCTTTTTCTTGCCTTTCTCTTCTATTTCAATTCTCTTCCACTGACTCCATACAATTGACTCAGGCAGCGATTTCTCAAGGTCATCTTTAGTTGGAAAGTTTTCAGTTGCTCTTTCTGGGTTTGCTGATACATCTATACCCTCCTTTCTAAGCAGCTTTACTGACAAAGCAGCATTCTGGTGTTTCGTACATAAGCATGAACTGCGGCTTGAAAACGAGGTCAACAAAATATAATTGGATCTGCATCGACTAAATGAAGTGAAAGATATATCAACATCAGGATTTTCTGATTGAAACTTTTTGTACAAATTTGATAGGTAATCAGAAAGAATATATAATTGTTTCTTTTCACCACTTTCACTTTTCTTCACATCTTTCTTTCCCGGTTGAAGCTTACTATTATCTTCTCTTTTAAAAAACTCTATTACTCTCTCCTGATATCTCCCGAGTGTGCTCTTTCTCGATGATCTTGCTACTTGGTGGAGCTTACTTTCGCTTTTTCAAAGTCTATGTCGACAGAGGCCAGTCTTTAATGACAGTAATTTGATGCATTTATATTTCTTGGCTATCTTTCCGGAGATGACTCTATGTACAGCTTTCATAGTTCCTTTCGGCGTTTGTTCTTTTGTACGTTTGACCTCGCTGACAATGACATTTCCTAGCAACAGTGACTTTCTGATTTTTTGTTTCTGACTGTTAGATAAGTTTGCCATCTGCATTTCTTGTTCTGTCTGCTTTCGTGGTGTTAATTCTTGACTTAGATGTTGATTTTTACTTTTGTTCTTCATCCGCTGCAATGATCTTTGAGTAGATTTGTATCTTTTCAGAAGCTTGGATCTTTCTTGTTCAAGAAGTCTAATGCGTGAGGTGGCCTCTGACAATTCTCGTTTCCACCTAATAAGTGCACCCTTTCTCCTGTTGTTTTGAAATGGGATTCGTACTCTTAGACGACCTCTTTCTGAACTGTCATTTGGAGCACTATCATACCCACTTGTGTCTTGTTCTTGTGGTGCCACCAGCCGTTGTCGCTCTTCACGCTTGCGTTGGTAAAACCTTCTTAATTTAGCTCTATTTTGCTCGTTTCTTCTTTTCTTGTCTCTGTCTGATAGCTCAGATGAAGGTACATAGTTACGGCGCATTCTCTCACGTTCCCGCCTCAGGTATTCTTCATTGTTTTTCTCTTTAAGGCGCTGTCGATAGGCCCTTTGGATTTCTGCTTTACTCTTTCCCATATTAATATATTTACCTGCAAAGAAATTAAAACCTTCGTTATGTTTGTGAAACCTTCGTTATCATAAGATTAATATGGAAAGGGACACTAAGGCTATATTTATGTACAACAAAACATCACTTATAGTATCATTCTTTGCAATTACATTGGAAATTGTAAAGAAAGAAAACGGATATGAACGATATATAATATAAACGAATAAAATTATCACTTGAGCAACATGAATACTTAGATTCTAAACATATTTTATAATGTTTTATTCTAAAATATATTGCAGGGCAATTTAAAAATGCTGTTATAATGTCCGTTTGATATGTCTGTTATAAATGTTATAGAAACTTATGTTTAATGTATATGCACAAAGTATAACTTGATTTTTTATCACAAAAAAATTAAATAAAACCTTCGTTATCATGCGATAACGAAGGTTTGATAGATTTTAACATGACTTTTATACCAAAGGGAGACAAATCATTATCATCTTCATTTATAAACTAAAAAATTATGATATTGCGCTAATAATTACAAAATTAAATATATTTCCAAACAACCATTTCACAAAATTATTCTTTTGAAAACTAAGGTAAAAATACTCACAATTCTAGAAGGAAATGCCAGTAATGTTTTTCGTGTTTTTCAATGATTTCAGTTACCGGTAAGTAGACACTCCGCTTTGACGTCACTGGAAGTGATGTCACTGTAATTTTTTGCAAATTCCGCGGCAAATTTGAATTATGATAACGAAAGTTTAAATTACGAAGGTTTAAACTCAATTTATGATCTGGATTAGTTTAATGTATAACAATGTTTTAAACATAGTCTTCGCTCTTACTACACCAAGGTGACATATTGGTTGATATGAGAGGGTGTCAGGATATATCTTTAGGAAACATTTGTATTTTTTTTATATCACGAAAGTTTTACGTTATTACTTTTGAAGAAATGCTAATTATTGATGATGACCAGTGTTTGCCATTTAGGTGCAAAATATACCTGCTTGTGTTCCTGTCGTGTACACTAGTCTCTAATAGCTTTATTACTGTATTGTGTTGCTCGATAATCAAAATTTTTATAATTTGAAAGACTGTATAAATTGGGAACAACGAAGGTTTTTTAATAAGATAATTTCAGCGACACATTAAACACCTAAAATTTTCTGACTAAAGCTTGTACTGGTCATTGTTATTCCCTTTGTATAATTAAAAGCAAGAATAGAGGCTGTTTAAGTAACAAAAAAAGCAGATTTTGGTAAGCTACTTTTCGATAGAAATGATGTCCAAAGTAAAATTCAGTGCAGGCGACAATAACGAAGGTTTTAAATTCGATAAAGGTTTCGCAAATTTGAACTCTTCAGTGGATAATGGAAGAGCCTAATTTTTAACAGTGAATAATATGAATAATATGGTAATACAACTTGCTGCAGGGACAATATTTTTAGCTGTTTAGTAAGCAGCTTATATATAAAATAACGTGACATTGTGTGGACCTACTTATTGAAAATCACCGTTTATTGCTAATTCTACATCTTGTACTACCAGTAATCTTTCTATTTTATTGACTTCTTGTCTTACTGCCATCAAGACACATGTAATTAGATACTGTGAAACTGTTTATGAAAATTTAGATAAGTTTAAAGTTAAGAATTATCAAGCTTCATCTGTAAGTACTTACGATTTCTCTACCTTATACACAACATTGCCGCATAATCTTATTAATGATAAATTAGTATCTTTAATTCAAGACATTTGCAAGAGAACAGGTCACGTTTCTTGCTTGCAATTCAAAGAAGGCTTTCTTTACCAATGTTATCATTAAACAATACGCAATGTGGACCTGTGACGAAGTTTGTGCAGCACTTTCTTTTTTATTAGATAACATTTTTGTCAGGTTTGGTAAAACAGTTTTCAAACAGGTAACGTAAAGTGCCTTAAAGTCGCCATGATCCCATTGTCGTCAGTTTTTTGTATTCTCGTTTTCTCTCGCACGCGTTATCTTGAAGTAGTAAAGGCGGCTTATTTTGAAAGGTGAATATATTTTCTATTTCATTGCACTGTTCTACGTTATATATGTAAATAACTACTCCTAAGATACGACGAATAAAAGCATATATGTGTTTGATAGATGAAGTAAGAGCTGTCGACGATCCAATGTCTTCAGCAGCCACAATAGGCGAATTAAAATTGTAAACACGTGGCCATTTGTAATCCGTGGGAAGTAACTCTGTCCAATAGATCATATTTTTTGGTTTTGTATTTGTAGCTTCCCTTCGAAGCAAACACTACCTAGTCTATTAAAAGTAACCTTTAAATTAAATGACGACTTTATGAACCAGTTGACGAGATTTGTGCATATGTTTTGAAAACAGTCCTCACAATTTTAAGTTAATTATTTTTGTTACGGCATAAATAACATGTGAACTAGGTTTTGTTTATGTAAAGCGTAAATATATATGTTTAAGATCGAATAATATTTTGTATAATTAAATCAAACTAAAACTCATATAAGTTATGCTAATCTTTGCTAATCATGGAGCGGTATGGGTGAATATTTTGTTCATTCCAATTGTAATCACATGATTGCTAGATAAGGCGCGAGTTAGTTTGAACAATGTTGAAGTCAGTAAGTTGTCGTCATAGAATTCAAGAAACTATCATCATTACATGATACCCGATGGTGATTGGCCCCGACACAATTAAACTTAAATACCTTTGTTAATTATATCTTAAAGGAATAAACATACATTATATAAGTCAATTCACTAGCAGGTTATTTCGGCTCATATAATTACTTTCCTGTTACGATTTTAAAAATATTTTCAACTTCCTGGCAAATTCAAAATACTTACCTTACTAGTAGTTTTACTCCTTTTCTTGATCAGATATGGAAAATCAATCCAAACGCCCAAAAAAACTCCGTAAATGGTCGGAGGAGTCGATGTCTGCAGCATTTAGAGCAGTCAAAACAGAAAACATGAGCATATCTGCAGCTGCAAAATCATTCGGAGTGCCAAGGATGTCGTTATCTGATAGAGTTCATCACAAAGTTCCACTTCATAAATCTAAGATGGGAGTAAAAACCGCCTTAACTGATGAAGAAGAGACAGCACTTTGTAATTATATCACATACATGGCCAATCGTGGATTTCCTTTATCTGTGCCACAGCTCTTAGGATTTGCATGGTGTATAGCAAAGGAACGTAATAAAGAGGGCGTTTTTACAAAGAACGGACCAAGTCGTAAATGGTGGCGAGGATTCAAACGCAGACATCCTAACCTGAGTCTACGTCGCCCAGATGCATTAGACAGAGGACGTGCGTGCCTTGGCAACGTCAACACTCTTAGAGATTATTTTGAATTGCTTAAAGAAACCATGGATGCAAATAAACTCAATGAGAAGCCAAGCCAGATTTATAATTGTGATGAGGCCGCCCTGTATCTCAACAAATCTGCTGGACAGAAGGTTATCGTTCCTACTAGAACTAAACATACACATTCTTTATCAGTAGCAACAAATGAACACATCTCCGTTCACTGCTGTGTTAACGCTGCTGGGCATGCCATACCTCCAATGATCATCTTTAGCAAAAGTTTGCCAGGTGGTGCGTATTATCGTAACGGACCAATTAACGCAAGCTATGCCTGCTCTGACAGCGGTTTTATGGACCAGACACTATACTTCCAATGGTTCGAGAAAACGTTTCTCAGTCACGCTGTTCCACAACGTCCACTGCTTCTGATACAGGATGGTGCGTCTTCACATGTTAGTGTCGAATTAATCAGATCAGCGATTGCAAATGACGTTATATTGTTATGTCTCCCGCCCAAGACCACTCACATAACGCAACCATTAGATGTAGCGGTATATCGAAAAATGAAAATTGAAACTGCTAAAGTAGTAAGTCAAGCAAAGATGGTTAAGTCAGACCTTTGGATTTCTAAAAACAAAGTCAGTGCTATGTTTGAAATTATATTCGAAAAAAGTTTTACACAACATTGTATTACAGAGGGTTTCAGAAAATGCGGCATCTTTCCGTATGATCCTAATGCTATCGACAAAAGTCTGCTTTTGCGATCAAATGCTGATATTGATCCAAGCACTATTGATCTCTCTGTGAAGTCAGTCCAGCCTGTTGCAAAAGAAGCCTCTCCAGGATCTACTACTAATCAGGTAGCCTCGGATATCAATTCAAGTGACAACGATTTAGTACTTGACAGCTCATTCTCTTGGTTACAGGGCAATGATACGGAGCCAATATCAGAGGCAGGCGCAGAGAATATGAGCAGTACACCAGATGAAGGACAGGATTGTCCCCCGGAACTGGCTTTCTCTGCCGTCGAACTGTCGTTAACACCTCGTAAGAAACGCAGATTTGAGGAATGTTTTGATTTAAACATTGAGCTGAACAATCCTCTATACAAGACTTGGTATCATCTCAAAAATAAAGTACGTGCTATACATAACTTCGAAGCTCAAAATGAAACCCCTATTATTGATGACGAAGTAAAAACCACGCCTGTACCAGAAACCGACGCACCAGTTAAGGACTGCCCTGTTATCAACCATCGCCTAGTAAAAGCAGGACTTATCCCAAATGATCTTGTTAATGTCCTGGTTGCGCCGCCACCACCACCTTCTTCGTCTAAAGGTAAAAGGAAGGAGTCAGGGAAGGCAAGAGTCTTGACAAGTACAGATGTACAGCAAGAAATTGAAGCAAAGGAAAAGAAGAAACAACAGGACATTAAATTAAAGGAAGAAAGAAAACAGGAACGATTAAACAAGATAATAACAAAGGAAAAAGAATTATTAAGAAAGAAAGAGGAAATGAAGAAGGAAAAAGAACTGATTCAAATTCAAATGAAAAAAAAACAACTTAAGCTACGTAGGAAAGACGAATCCCAGCACTCAAAACACAGAGTATCAAAAACATTATTTTTGAAATAATTACAATGATTTTCTTTTCTCTTCAGGTATAATGAAGAAATTTGTCCTAAGAAACTTTCA